TAGATAACAACTGAAAATGTTTGGGATTCAATCTCTCTTAATTTTTCGCTCTTTGCTCCATTGGGTGCCTCGAAATTTTATTATTTTGATGTCATAATGTTCATAATTTTTCTTAAATTGTAACTGTGAAATGTGTTTTTCTTTCTTATATTAGAGTGTCTATTAGGATGAAAATGGAATATTTTTTCTTTTAACTGTTTGTGTACTCTTAAACTTTGGAGTGAGGTGGAAAGCAAAGGATGCCAAATGTTTTTTGTTCAATTAATTGGGTAAAACTTGCCCACATCGTCTGTATCTTTGAACGGTTGATATGTTGTTCACCGGATAAATACATATCAAAGGTCAATATGTATTCATTTCTTTCTTTTTGTTGGAAAGTAAGATTTTGAATGGTATTAGAACTCGTAGTTATAAATTGTTAAATTTCTCATAATTCACAAGTGTTTGTACATATTGTGGTACTATTAGGCGCATATTTTTTTCCAAGTTATATGTAATGTTCAAATTTTAGTTATCTTATAATATTAACCTTTTATTTATAGATTTTAAAATTTATATTCTGTAGTGACTTCAATTGAAGATATCGTGTTTTTTTGTGTGTTCAAGTTAATTATTCAATGGTGGATGAGTGGTGTAAATAAAAAATATGATCAAATTTGGATGCTTAGAGAAACTACATGTGTAAAATGGACACTAACAGTAAAAGATCTTAAAGGTAAATGAGTTTTCTAGGACATTGACACCAAGGATAACTATATTATAAGTGATGAGAGCTTATGATGGAAGAATTGATATTTATTCTCATGAGAATATGAATAGGTTAAATATATAGGTTTATATACTAAAGAGGTTCCTAAACTAAATAGATACAAATCTGTAAATATCTTTATATATTAAATATACAATATTTGACAATGATGTTTAGGATCTTCTACATCCTCTAATAAACTAAGCTTCTCTCAATTATCTTAAAAAAAATATGCCAAACATTTTTTTTCTTGCACAAATTTCTAGTTATAATGATTAGATTGTATAGGAAATGGTGGTGGAATTTTGTAATTTCATCAAGATATTAGAATTAACCAAACTTCTCATTTGAATATTTGACCAATCGAAACCTATTGGGCTACATCTCAGAAATTATAGGCCCATGCATTGATAATAATAGGCCCTTTTCGTCACCCAGTCTGGTTCTTCCCATTTCTAGTCAATTTTTTTTTTTGATAAAACCCATTTCTAGTCAATTTCATTTACAAAATCTCATTTTCCTCTCATTCACAAATTACATTTAACTTGAGAAAGGGAAAATCGCTGCCTCAGATCTCGCAGCGACTCGAGAATTTTGTCTTCTCTTCGTCTTCGTCTTCTCCACCCACCCCTTTTTCTTTTACACTCACTCTTTCTACTAGTACTTGTTTCCGGCTCGTGAAGTTTTGCTAATCCCGGTGTCACCATGGCTGCCGCTAACGCTCCGATCATCATGAAGGAGATCCTAACGGTAAGTCTCTTTCTTATTTTCATAGAATTTGATCCGCTTCTGGAAGAACTCCCTCTCACGGTAATTGAGTAGGCTGATATCAAATAAGCACTCCCGTGATCGAAGATTTACTTAGTTCGTATAGTAAACGCTAGTCCACGAATGTGTTTACTTGGAAATTAGCATACCGAGGAACTCGAACGAGTGATCAGCTCGTTGTATGATTCTCCGGATATTGAACATTCAGATCTGTGTAGAACAGGATTATTATACTCCAAGCTTGTATTCAGTTCGATTTCATGCAGTGGACAAAGTTTTTCGATCTGAGATATATGAGAGAAAAATACTTCTGAGTTTTCTGAAATATGCGATTTTTGTAGCTCCCGAGCGTTGGGATCAATCAGCAACATATCACCTTTACGCATGTTACAATGGAGTCGGACAAGTACATTTGTGTGAGAGAAACTTCGCCGCAGAACAGTGTTGTGATTGTAGACATGAGTATGCCTACGCAGCCTTTGAGGAGGCCTATCACTGCAGATTCCGCACTAATGAATCCCAACACAAGGATTCTTGCGTTGAAAGGTAGTCACATATGAGGAAAACAAATTATGGTTGCTTATAGTGGAATCTTAAGTGTCTTGACCAACTGCATGTGTTGGATATATGAGTTTTAGCATAATTAGTGCTTTTCACCATTAGATTAGATGCTGCAATATAAAGTTTCACTTACGTTTGTTAGGTGAATTTGGTGACTGGATGAAGTATTCTTGGATGCTGCATGAATCACGTTGACCGTGACAGTGTAGAAAATTAACTTCTTTCGATTTTAGTTTTTTTGTTAGACTTTGCGTAGTTGGGTGCTAAATGTACTTTCTTAATGAGTAATTAGTTTTCCATCAGAAAGGAATCTGTTGTTTGGCATTATGTCACAGGAAATTTTGTGATTGGTTTTCTGTTCTGCAGTTTGTACCATCTCCGTTTTTGTTAGGTAGTTAACTTATTTTCTTTTCTTTGTGTGTGTGTGTGCAAAGCTCAACTACAGGGCACCACTCAGGATCATCTACAGATATTCAACATTGAGGCTAAATCGAAAATTAAATCACATCAGATGCCTGAGCAGGTGAGAATTTATTTCCTAATCTAGTATTGATAGTTTATTATCACGTTGGAATTTGAACTTCAGCCTGCCCCATTCATGTGCAGGTCGTGTTTTGGAAGTGGATTTCCCCAACTATGTTGGGTTTGGTCACACAAACCTCTGTATATCATTGGTCAATTGAGGGTACTGTATTCTGCATTTCTATCTCAAATTCTGTACTAAGATATTTATTTTTCGTGTTTAGTTCTAATTTGCATGTCTTTATATGTTCTTGGGCAGGTGATTCTCCACCTGTTAAGGTGTTTGATAGGACAGCGAACTTGGCAAACAATCAGATTATAAACTATAAATGTGATCCCTCTGAAAAGTGGCTAGTCTTGATTGGAATTGCCCCTGGTTCACCTGAGGTAACTTGGTTATGTAACCTCATTGTCTGTTGTTGTATATAATGTTCAACGAGTATTTATTTTTGCTCCTCTAATGCTCTTGATTGGTTCAACTTTTGATTTCTGATATTGAGTTTTTGATCTTTCTTTAGAGACCACAACTGGTGAAAGGGAATATGCAGCTTTTTTCTGTTGATCAGCAGCGTAGTCAAGCCCTTGAAGCTCATGCTGCTTCATTTGCTCAGTTTAAGGTCTGACATTCATCTGATATTGATTTTCTTTATTTTTTTTCTCCTTTTTATTTAAATTTTAGCTTGGGTGGAGTATAAATGTCTACTTGATTTGTCCGAGCAGGTCCCTGGAAATGAAAATCCATCTACTCTTATTTCATTTGCAACGAAGAGTGTTAATGCTGGGCAGATAACCTCTAAGCTGCATGTGATTGAGCTTGGTGCCCAACCAGGTTGTGGTTTCTCCGTCACTCTCATCTGCTTTATCAGTTCAACTTTATTAGAGATTTTTCTTGTGTGGCTCTGCAAGTAAACCTGTTATATATCATTTGAAAAACCTTACTATATTGTGTCAATAAGGATCATATATGTTGCTCTGTATTGTATTAAAAAGTTTCTTGTGCATAGTCCCAAGTCCTGACTGTTAGAGATATTTGTCTCCAGGAAAACCATCTTTTAGCAAGAAGCAAGCAGACCTCTTTTTCCCTCCGGATTTTCAAGATGACTTTCCAGTTGCTATGCAGGTTTGTAGCTCATAACTGGTTCCTCTGTTTCTAGAAATGTCAATGGGGAAATTTCATGAAGTCTATTTATCATCTTTCAGGTATCTCAAAAGTACGGTTTGATTTACGTCATCACCAAGCTTGGGCTACTATTTGTGTACGATTTGGAGACAGCTACTGCTGTGTACAGAAATCGAATAAGTCCAGATCCCATATTTTTGACTTCTGATGCCTCAGCAGTCGGGGGTTTTTATGCAATCAATAGGAAGGGGCAAGTCCTTCTTGGAACCGTTAATGATGCAACTATAATACCTTTTGTTAGTGGCCAGGTAAATTTTAACTTTGAAGTACTAATGTACTATTTTTTCCTTGGTAAGAAAGCTATCCTAATTTGTGTACCACATGTTACAGCTGAACAATTTAGAGCTTGCTGTCAGTCTTGCGAAAAGAGGGAACCTTCCTGGAGCAGAAAACTTGGTAAGTAGTGTATGAAATCTTAGTCCATGTCGTTAATATTTTATGTATTATTAATGGATGAACAAGTAGTGTAGTTGTGATAGCTATAATTGATTATTTGAGATGTTGAAACGTGAGAACAAATCTGAGTAGAATAAGACTGGCAAAACAATTTTTTCTATACTATCATGATCATATTTTGCCGAAAAATATTCAGTTGAAAATGGCTGATGAGATGTGAAGAAACTATAGTTGCCAATTATTATTTAGACAAAAATGTGCTATTCTCAAATTGATGCTAAAACTGGGTTAACATCATTGTTTCAATTTCTTCTTTCTTGTTGTTATTATCATAGGTTGTCCAACGTTTCCAAGAGCTTTTTGCGCAAACAAAGTATAAAGAGGCTGCTGAGCTTGCTGCAGACTCTCCTCAGGGAATACTTCGAACACCTGATACAGTTGCTAAATTTCAGGTTTTCACCGTTTCCTGTGATTGGATTTGTAGTGATTTGTTCTTCCACTGCTAGGAAGATTGAAAGGTCTATTTTTATAACTAATTGCTGTTAATAAATGTCACAGAGTGTTCCTGTTCAAGCGGGGCAAACACCTCCTCTGCTACAGTACTTCGGGACTCTCTTAACTAAAGGGAAGCTTAACGAGTATGAGTCCTTGGAACTTTCTCGCCTTGTTGTGAACCAAAATAAAAAGAATCTTCTGGAAAATTGGTTGGCAGAGGACAAATTGGAATGCAGTGAGACGCTAGGAGACCTTGTGAAGGTTTGACTTGAGCTCAAACACAAAATGTTTACCTCTTTATAGACTTGACTTTGACCTCTTGATTCTGGTGAATATGCATTTCAGACTGTGGACAATGATCTTGCGCTGAAAATATACATTAAAGCGAAGGTGACCCCCAAAGTTGTTGCTGCCTTTGCAGAAAGGAAAGAGTTTGACAAAATTTTAATCTACTCGAAGCAGGTCAATGCCATGAATTCTCTATTATTGCAAGAAATTATTTTTGATTGTTTAGGTACTGAAATTGTTGTTGCTTTTTAGGTTGGGTACACACCTGACTACCTCTTTCTCCTGCAAACCATTCTTCGTACAGATCCTCAGGTCAGTGGAATAACTCTTTGGAGACTAACTAATAACTTGAGAAACCGTATGAATCGGGCGGGGCGGGTGGAGAAGATCCGAGAACAGGCGGGTTCGGGTTTGGATTCGGGTTAGGATTAGGAAACGGAGTTATAAAAGGAGAAGTAGAGGAAGAGGAAGAGGAAGAAGAAGAATCGGCGGAAGATGAGCAATAGTCGCCGGAGCAGTCGTGGTGAGAGTGTCGGCGGATGATACCGAAGCCTACGACGAGACCAATGACGACGACGACAGTGACGATGAAAATGAAAATCTTGGTGGCTTTTCCGACATAGCAGAGCATTGTCGTTAGACGTTATCTGTGAGATTTGGATATTCAGTAAGATCGGAACAAAAATTCTCCGACCTTTGTTGCCTGTTTTGTTTTGGTTTCTTTTTTTATATGTATATTATTTTTGGTTATGTCTGAATGACTGAATTTTACAGATGAGATGTGGGGGATTCGGATCTCTCTTTCGTCCTCTTTACTTTCAGTTCACAGTGAATTTAATTTTAGTTTTTCTTTTATTTATTTTTATGTTTTTTAAAGTCAGTTAAACCGAGGGATAATGGGTCACGCCGATGGTGGGAATAAAAGCTTATGGGCCACGTGAAACCCAACATTGGAACGTAAATTATTAAAATTATGTTACAATTTGCTAAATGGCAACATTAATATATTTAATTAAATGTTGATTAGCTATTTCATATTTATTTATAACAATTTTAGTAGCCAATATTGTGCACTTGTTATTTCTCGTACATACACGTTACACACATAATGAGTTCATGACATAACGAACTTTTTCTTATTATAGACTAGTCACCATTATTTTCTTCTCACCAAAAAACTGTTAGATATGCATGCATTTTAGCAGCTTAGTTAGGGAAATCTTTGGCACCATAGATGCTTTGTGATGTAGGACAAAAGATAGATAAAACATCATAATAGAACCTCAATTAAAATCACCTCACTCAATACCAGAAATAGAAGGCAACTGAAATTATTAAACAGAAATAATGAAATATTAAACCAGCAAATGGGAGTACGGTAAACCAGCTCAGGTGACGATGTCTGTGGAAATGTAAAATTCTAAAAGTAGAGCTTAAGAATCATGGGAGAGAGTATTTGGTTTCAGAAACAACATCAAATTTAATCTCTACACTCAAACTACCCTCCTTGTCCAAGTAAGCCTTCGAAATTTTAGATAGAGCCACAAATTCAGGTTGACCCCAGCTGAGTTTTGATTTGGTGTGCCAAGAACTAGCTGTAGCAAAAAAATAGGATGCAAGCATGGTAATATGAGACTACTGAATTCCAAAATGAATATCGCATTAGTCTCATCACACAAACAGGTTTATAAAGAAGAGAAACATGTAAAATATAATCAGTTTTTTTATTACTTACTTTCCTCTGTGACGTGATTGCATCCATATGGGTCTAGAATTCGAAAATGAACTAGCGTAAAAATCTTATCATCTTCCATTAGTGATTTACCATCAGCAAGAGACAGATAAATGGATAACCATTTGTCATTCTCTACTCCGTCGCCCTTGGGATACAATAACAGAGTCCTGGTAACAATAGTTCACACATGTTAACACTTACAAAAGCACCCGGCGCACACAATTACTTGTGTTAGATACATACTCCAAAATCAGTATATTATTAGTCTAAAAGCAATGTTTTTATGTACTCACCATTTTCTTTCTCCCATTGAAAAAATGCTTGATGTGTAACTCTTCTCTTTCAGCTCAGAGAAATTCTTAAGAGTCCAAGAGAACTTGGGATAAGAGAGTTTGTCGTTAAAAGAGAGGATCTCCGAATTGGTAGGAGGTGGAGCAACTATGACATCAACACCAAATTCACATTGATCTCCAAAAATATATCCATTTTTAGGATCATTGAGTGTAAAAAGCGGAAGCACTTGGGAAACTCCCCTCACAGTTCTTATTATATTGAACGGCTTCGATTCTACATCTGGATATTTATAAACAAACATAATTGATCAAGTTATATACATTAAAACCAAATGTACATTTATTGTAACTTGTAAATTATGCATATACCTACCTTGAATAGTAAAGTACTTGTTTTCTTTTTTGTTAAAGATGAAAAACCGAAGATCTGCAAACACCTCGCTTGGTGGTGTGGACAATAGGCTTGTGCTATCTATTTCCACATACATAGATATAAACCCACTTCCATCGTCCTTGTCGTTCCCTTTCGGGTGTATAACCATTCTCCTATAATTATTTATAAACAGTATTTGCATTAGTTAAGATGGCATATATTTTTTTTTTTAATCTAAGGATATAGGAAAATAAAAAGGTTGAGATATTGATAATTTTTATGATGAATTATGAGGAAGTGCAAATCTTTAAGAATTGTGGCAGAAAGTAAACACACAGCACGTACCTGTTGTATCCACCAGAGGAGAAAAGATGGGACTTATATTTTCCATCAGAGGAGAGAGTTGATTTCTCGAGTACGGGGAAATTTTGGATCTTGAGTGAGTAAGAAGAAGGAGGGCGTTCTCTCCAGCCCTGCAGAGTTGTTGAAGACACGTTTGAACACATTATTTTACCCAAAAACGATCTTTGTAAAGAAAGAAAAATTATACAGTATTTGTGATTCAAGATATTCGGAATATTGTTGACATCTACTGGAGAGAGAGAGAGAGTATGAAACGTTTTTTCTTCGTTAAATGGACAAAGAGGACTCTCGGAATTTGCATTCAAGGGAAGGCGAAAGCAATCTCATAATAATGGTATTACTTGGAATATGAATAGTCATGAGTCCATGCATGCGCATGACTCGTGATTCGCGAACTTTTTCACTTGGTTTAATTTGGTTCCTATTGGAGAAAAAAAAAAGGAAAAATGAAAAGGTTGTCAATTGTCTCATATAGTCAACTCACCAACTCTTTCCTCCAAGTTAAGGCCGGTTGATGTTTGGTGTTGGTATTGATATGATAGAATTAAAAGCATTTGGTATTATAAAATTATACATGGACTGATTGACTCTTTCAGTCTTTGATCGGAGTTGAAGTACACCGTCGAAAAGTCTGACGTGGTCTCCCCCCTTCTGGTGGCTTTTATTTCATCAAATCATGTCGTATGTGTTTTCATTATTTGGCTGAAGCAATCAATCTTTGGATTAGTTTTATGCTTTGCATTGATTCTCTCTTGGTCTTTTAGGAAACAAAGAGGCTACAACCCTACGTGAAATGTAATCCTATACTATGGAAACGATGTAAAACAAACTCTGTTTTCTGTACAGTTACGTTTTTGGGATATGGTACAATTATCAAAACTAAATAGAGCAAAAATACTCGGTATGAAACATATCTTGTTTAATCGAGCGAACATATACAATATCTTCAGTACTAATCCCAACTCCAAAATAAATTTATTGAGCCAAAGGTTTTCCTACCTGAACAGAATTCCCTAATTGAACTTGATTTTTCCAAAAGTAAAATCATTAAGAAAAATAAATCTTAATGCATAACTTTTTGTTATTGCAAATTACTCGGACAAAAAGAGAGTAAAAAACAAAGTGGCATATGGGGTAAAGTATGGAGCAGGAGCGCTTAGAAGATGGGAGGGTAAGTGGTCGAAGAAACAACTTCAAATTCGACCTCTACACTCAAAGTGTTTTCTTGGTCCAAGTAAGTCCCCATAAGCTCAGCCATTGACACAAATTTATGGTGACCGCAACCTAGGTTTGATTCATCGTGCCAGTAGATAACTGAAAACAAAAACAATAGCAATAAGTGATATTATTATCTAAGCCTAGATAGATATTGTTATCTCACAACAATCGGTGTCAAGTTAAGAAAGCTATAAAAAAACAAGACAAAATATAGGTTCACTGTTCACATACATTTCTCTGTGATGTGATTGGATCCACGTGGATTCAGAACTCGGATATGACCACGCGTGTAAATCCTCTCATCCGCTACCAATCTTTCATAGTAAGATAGATGCAGAAAAATTGAGACCCATTTGACGTCTGATGTTGGATACACCTTTAGCACCCTAGAGAACAATAGTATGCACATGTTAGTTATAACACTCATATACATGTGCGGACACACACATGACACATGGATATTTTATAAACTCACCATGTCTTTCCTCCAACTGAAAATCTATTAGATGAGTAGATATGGTCTTTCAGCATCAAGACATGGTTGAAAGTACAAGAGACTTTGGGGAAATAGGTCTTATTAAAAGAGACGACTTCCCACTGGGTAATGGCTGTATCAAGCATCACATCAACACCAAACTCGCATTGATCTCCTTCAAAGATATATCCATTTACAGGGTCATTGAATATCTCAACCGGAAGCATTTGTGAAACTCCCCACACCTTCAATGCATTAAACCGCTTCACTTCTGTATCTGTGCATGGGAAGGTATGTGTGTATTCTTATTAATATTTATATATATGGCAAGTTAATGTAGATATATTGAGCAACAATAGTGATATCTACATTGTTGGACTAATTTAAACTATATCTACAATTAATATCACTATAGGTACATACCTTGAATACAAAAGTATTTGTTTAACTTCTTGTTATAGATAGAGAAGGTGAGATATGCAAACACCTCGACTGCGCTGTCTATTTCAATGTACATAGAAATAAATCCACTTCCATTGTCCTTTTCATTCCCTTTTGGATATAAGATTAATCTCCTGTTTTTAGACAAAAAAACAAGACTATATAAGGTTTATATTCTTAAGAAAATAAGATATTAAACTTCTCCGATAGATAACAAAGGCTCGATTCAAATAATCATATTAAGAAAAACATATGTAAGGTGGTCACGATGCAGATATATGAACATGTTTTTTTTAATGTATTAAAAGAAGTACCAGTAGTAGCCATCAGCTGAGAAACGACGAGATTGGTAATTTTCACCGACGAGTTGTTCGAGATTCTGGATTTTGAGGGAATACGAAGAAGGAGGACGTTGTGTCCAGTAGTTATGCGGACTTGTAGAATCTGCTGCTGTGAAGGAACATAGCGACGATGTTTCTTCATCCGAAACTGTAACGACCATCCTTGATGATCAAATCAACCAAAGGC